ACCGGGCGCCGCTGCTGCAGGATGAAGCGCTGTTCGCCGCCGGCGGAGTTGTTTTTGCGAAAGCCGGTCGCCGTGCGGAGAGCGCTCAAGGTCTGAACTTCCCTCCGGAGCCGCAGTTGGAGGCGTGCGGCGCGGAGGCCACCAGCGGGTGAGGGCGCCCGAGGGGAGTGCACTGTGTCCGGGACCCGGGACCCAGGGCGGCCGCGGCGCCGGGACCCTCGGGAGCACCAGGTCGGTCCCGGGCAGTTCTTGCTTCCCGAAGGTGGGGCGGGGGGCATTGACTTTCCGATAAATCGGCAGTTTTTGTGAGCATATGGTGGCTTCCCCGAGTCGCTTATTGGAGGCTGCACCCAGGACACGCACAGGTCGCGTGGCCCTCCGGACGTTTATGTAGTAGGGTCACTCTAACTCTCGTCGTTTTGCCCGCAGGTACCCCTGACCCGGCCGGGGAGGTTCTGAGAGCTCGGCAACATGGCTTCCCCGCCCCACCAGCAGCTGCTGCATCACCACAGCACCGAGGTGAGCTGCGACTCCAGCGGAGACAGCAATAGCGTGAGGGTTAAGATCAATCCCAAGCAGCTGTCCTCCAACAGCCACCCCAAGCACTGCAAGTACAGCATTTCATCCAGCTGCAGCAGCTCCGGGGACTCCGGGGGCCTTCCCCGGCGAGTGGGTGGCGGGGGCCGCCTGCGCAGGCAGAAGAAGCTGCCCCAGCTGTTCGAGAGGGCCTCCAGCCGGTGGTGGAACCCCAAGTTCGACTCGGTGAACCTGGAGGAGGCCTGCCTGGAGCGCTGCTTCCCACAGACCCAGCGCCGCTTCCGGTACGCGCTCTTCTATGTTGGCTTCGCCTGCCTTCTCTGGAGCATCTATTTCGCTGTCCACATGAGATCCAAACTGTTCGTCATGGTGGCCCCCACTCTGTGCTTCTTGGTGGTGTGCGTGGGCTTTTTTCTGTTTACCTTCACCAAACTGTACACCCAACATTACGCGTGGACCTCGCTGGCTCTCACCCTGCTGGTATTTGCCCTGACCCTGGCTGCCCAGTTTCAGGTTTTGACACCCCTCTCAGGACGCGTAGACAGCTACAATCATACTCCTGCAACCAAGCCCACAGACACCTGCCTATCCCAAGTGGGGAGCTTTTCAATGTGCGTGGAAGTGCTCCTTTTACTCTACACCGTCATGCACTTACCTTTGTACTTGAGCTTGTTTTTGGGGGTGGCCTATTCAGTCCTTTTTGAGACATTTGGCTATCACTTTAGAGATGAAGACTGCTTCCCCTCCCCCGCAGCCCAGGCCCTGCACTGGGAGCTACTGAGCCGAGCTCTGCTCCACGTCTGCATCCATGCCATTGGGATCCACCTGTTTGTCATGTCTCAGGTGAGGTCCAGGAGCACCTTCCTCAAGGTAGGACAATCCATCATGCACGGAAAAGATCTGGAAGTAGAAAAGGCCCTCAAAGAGAGGATGATTCATTCTGTGATGCCAAGAATCATAGCCGATGACTTAATGAAACAGGGGGATGAGGAAAGTGAGAATTCCATCAAGAGGCATGCTACCTCTAGCCCCAAGAACAGGAAGAAAAAGTTCTCCATACAGAAAGCTCCTATAGCATTCCGCCCTTTTAAAATGCAGCAGATTGAAGAAGTTAGTATTTTATTTGCAGATATTGTAGGCTTCACCAAGATGAGTGCCAACAAGTCTGCTCATGCCTTGGTGGGGCTCCTCAATGACCTGTTTGGTCGCTTTGACCGACTGTGTGAGGAGACCAAGTGTGAGAAGATCAGTACTCTGGGAGACTGTTACTATTGTGTGGCAGGGTGTCCCGAGCCTCGGGCAGACCATGCCTACTGTTGTATTGAAATGGGCCTAGGCATGATAAAAGCTATTGAGCAGTTCTGCCAGGAGAAGAAGGAAATGGTGAACATGCGCGTTGGGGTTCACACGGGGACTGTCTTGTGTGGCATCTTGGGCATGAGGAGGTTCAAGTTTGATGTGTGGTCCAATGATGTGAACTTGGCCAATCTCATGGAGCAGCTGGGAGTGGCTGGCAAAGTTCACATTTCTGAGGCCACTGCAAAATACTTAGATGACCGGTACGAAATGGAAGATGGGAAAGTTATTGAACGCCTTGGCCAGAGTGTGGTTGCTGACCAATTGAAAGGTATGTGCATTTCTTTACTCTGTCATCTTCCTCCCCATCCTGTTTGTATTAAATAATTTTAAAAATCTCTTTGCAGCATCAGTGTCTGGAGGCAGCTTAACTGTCTCAGGATACCGACGATGGGGGAATCTCAGGATCAGTGTGACTTTTTCTCCAGTGAGTCAAATATCACAGACCTAGTCATGCTGTGGACATGGACACTGAGACAGTGCTGACCTAGATGAGACCTTTAGAAGGAGGGAGGACCTTGAAAGTGCCTTTACTGCCAGTCAGCTGTTGACATTTCTAAAATTCCAGGGGCCTGTCCCAAGAATATAAGGATTTGGGAGCCCTTTAGCAGTCAGAACTTTTTAGCACTTCTAGAGATTGCCTTTGCAATCTCTAGTCACCTTAATGTCCCATGTCCATCTATATGTTCCTCTATCCCTTTTGACAAAACTATGAAGACTAAAACCTCTCTCCCCTCGAGGCCTTACTTTGTTTATTGTCAAAATAGAGATGGGAAGTCAGCTGTGCCCTGCAGGGCCTTTAAGAATTAGGTGGAATCGCACACCTCAGTGTACACTGCTTTTGCCTGCATCTCTTAAAACATTTTCATTTTCAGCTTTCAACTTTTGTTTGTTGAACAATGCTTTGTTATGGGTACTTCTCTTATCACATAGACCCCAGCATTTTAGACTGTTGAACTTTACCAGCCATCAGATGATTTGAAAGTGAAAAAGGTACCAAGAAGCTCCAGTGCCCCCTCCCTCAGCCCTCAGATTTGTATCTGGCCCCTGTCCCTGGTCCCTGGTCTTATGTTCCTAACTGCTATTCTTATTGTTTTTACTGGGCTGCTTATTTTATTATTTTTTAAAATTTTCTCTGAGGTCTGGGAAGTGGCATATAAATAAGTGGGACCAAAAACAAGAATTCTAAGTCATCTGCTGTGTTTCTTACCCTTTCTTGCTCTTTGAAATAGTTCTTATGTTTTACTAAAAGTCTTCTGGATTGAAGGGAACTTCTATTTTACAAGTATGTAGAGAAAATAACATTGATTTCTAAAAGCCTACGTCTGTGAAACTGTATTGTACTTTGTGGTGCCCACATGCTGCATAATTACACAGCTAAAAGCCCCGGGAGAGGGAATCCTCAGAAGGAGAAGGAATATTTCTCATCCATGGGAGAAGCCAGAGTTTAAACCAGAGACAGCAAAGTGGCTGGGTTGGTCTTGTATAGGTTGTGGGCCTTGCAACACTGCCATGTGCTGGATGAGCATTTTCCTTCTCTGGTTTGTGATCTGAACTCCACATTTATTTGTTATCTGGAAAGGTGCTTTATCTTTCTCCTGAATTTTTTTTATTGCATTTGTTTTGTTGTTGAAGAATTTATGGGTATAGTAGCAAAATATTTTCACCTGAGTTGCCTTTGACCTGAAGAGCTTTAATTGTTGGGTTGTTGAGGTCAGAAATGACACTTTCAGTTCACTTGAATGCTTCTTCCATGACAAGTGTCTTTCTGATTATGAGGGTGGCATCTGCTCTTGAGCCCAAAAGTGTCAGTGGAGTTGGGTGTGGATGTAATCCCTCCTTGACATTTTGGCATCTGTAGAACCTGAGAGTTACAGGCTCTGTCGTCAGGGATTATGAGACAGATTCTACACAGGGGTGCTGGACTGTACTGCCTTGTGGTAATAATTAGATATGTTGGGCCAAAGGACAACAATATCAGTTTTGTAAGTTGTACTTTGTATGGTCTATTTCTGGAATTTCAGAAATAAAAAACAGGTGCAATTATCAAGTGTCAAGCTTGGAAAATTGCCAAGCCTCAAACCTTTGGTAATATCTACTTTTCTTAATTTATTGGTAATTTTTATTTTCAATGGGTAGACCAAAGACACTGACCAAAAAGTAAAAAAAAATTTAAAAAGTCTGGAAGGGTTTGCTGATTTAAAAAAATATCTCAAATAGGGTAAATTAGCTTTTTCTTTAAATTTGTGTACATTGTATATTTATAGAGGAAAAGTTTTAGTACTGTATGGAAGTAGGAAAACATAGAAGGTTTAGCTAACCCACCGATTTTTTTAATTTAGTATTCCTCCTTTAATTGTTTCCTTGAGACTGTGATTTTTGCTTTCTTCAGCTCATTTTGAAACCTTTGTGGACAGGCCTCCAGTAATAGAATATGTCTACACAACTTCCTGACTCTGATGACTGTCCCGATGTACAAATCTGCTATGTGACATGAGAGCATAACCTGTAGAAGCCCTTTCATGTATATGGCTAAGCTTAGTGTGTAAGATTTTTCTCAGCATTCCATCTTTGAACTTTTGGCAGGTTTCTCTGTGTAATGTTGGGTGGTACTTTTTATCTCTTACCCCTTTCCTGATAAAAATCCCGGTAGAGAACTCTAGAAATGAGCACCAGTGGGCTGTGCAGGGATTCTAGAATTGGCCTGGCAGCATGAAGGGAAGCTGCTGCATGCCCTTGATGTGAGTAGAAGGTTATTGCATTACTTCTATGTGCTCACTCTCTCTCTCTAAAATCCATGCAGTGCTTCTGCCATATGTGCCTGGCACTGAGGATGTGGAGATGGATCTATGACAGCTCTTGACCTTGAGGAGCTCCTACCAGTCTTATTGTAGACTAGGTCCTTGAGTCAGGGACACTTTAGAGAGGGTCCTGAGATCAAGGTGTGGCTCTCCAGGAGGACAAAGAAGAACCTTAAGTGTGGAATGGACAGTCCCGGGCAGTGGCTTGGAGTGGTGTTTCTTGATGGCACAGCGCATTTGTCCATATTCATCAGAACAAAGAAGTGTATAGCTTGAGGGGGTTTGGATTTGATTCTGTAGTTGAGGGATATCACAGGTCATCACTGAAGCACAAAACAGGTTTAGAAAGCTTGCTCTTTCATTTCTAAGGATTGTAGCATGGAAAGGTATGAGATTGAGGATTAATGAGCTGTTTGAGCAAATCCCAGATGGGGTGATGGCCTGAATGAAGGTAACTGAGGTGGTATTGGAGATGATGGGGCAGGTGTGAGCAATGTGAAGATCAACTGGATGGGACTCCATGCCAGACTTAAAACTGGCTGGCAGGAAGAGGGGAGGGGCCTGATGGTCTCAATGAGAGACGGTCTTTTCAGTTTCTGGAGTTGACCTGGAGGTGGTCTGGAGTCAGGAAGGGTTGAGATGCCTTTGGCCATGCCCATGGTGTGAATGGAGCCTGCAGGATAGATTTGCAGAAGGTGAAACAGGCTTGGAACCTCTGTCTTGTTCATTTATTCATTCAACAAATTATTCCATGCTAGGTACAATGCTAAGTTCTAGGGTACAGCGGTGAACAAAACTGATAAAAATTCCAATAGCAATAAGGAACAGGAATTTTGAATTAATTGGTCTTCTATAGAGAATTTCTAATAGTGGAGTTGTTAGGGGAGTCCAACAATGAATAACAAATATATAGCATTTGTCTTATGATGATTTCTAAGGAGAAAACATAAAGCAGGAAGGGAGCTGTGGAATGCATGTGTGAAATCCAAGGCAGGGAGGCCAGTCACCGAGAGAGAAAGCTGAAGGAATTTTTCGGCACAGAGATAGGGTTTTGGAAATGACCTACAAAGCGAGGAGATAAGGAGGAGCAGACTGATCTGAGTGATGGAATAAGGGCCCTTTTGCAGCATTTGGGATGAACCCTGAGGCCTGTGGGGGACCTGGCCATTCTTTTCTGCTGTGGGCAGAAACAAGAAAGATGAGTAGTATTATCCAGAGCTGTTGGCTTTTCCTGTTGATGTAGAGTCACAGGGACAGAAAGTGAAACTTAGGAAGCTTCTCCAGCCTTCTTCTCCCTGCATGGATGTGAGGGAACTGGAACCAGGATGCTCAGTTCCTCCGGGTCCACACCACTGATTACATCCTTGTAGAAAGGAGTGTCTGGCAAATTGCATTGTTAGATGTAGAGATTAGAAAAGACAAGACTACCCAGGCCAAATTCTAGGCTATTGGATCCCTTAGGGGAGAGATTTGTATGTATCGTCACCTTTTGCCACCTCAGTGACTAAGGCCTTCGCCTTTTCTGAAGGGGGTACTTAGAAGACCTCCTGCTTAGTTGCTGCCTGCGTAGATTGAAGCACTCTGCTTCATCTTTGCTGGTATGTGTCCTATACTGGGAGTCTGGGCTCCTTGTTGTTTCTTTTTATTTTTATTTTTTAGTTGTTGATGGACTTTAATTTAATTTATTTATTTATATGTGGTGCTGAGAATTGAACCCAGTACCTCTCACATGAGAGGCAAGCACTCTACCACTGAGCTACAACCCCAGCCCATCCTTGTTTCTGACAGCTAAGAGCCCTACCAAGGTCCCTGTTTTGGGTGCCCTTGCATGCACAGGGCTTTCCTTCCTCCCTCCGATGTGGGTGTCTTGTCTCCTCCTAAGCATATAAGCCTTGTAGCTATGGTGCAGACTTCTTAGCTGATGGCTCCACCTCCCCTCTTGGAAATTCTGTGCTTACCCACATTCTTGATCTGGATCTCCTGTGCATGTTGAAACACAGTCTCTTAGGCAGCAAGTGGCGGAGATAAGATGAAGCAGAAAATGTAACTCAGTGACTGGGGAGGGGGAGATGACAACCACCTGTAGAGTCCATGCTCAAGCAGTACCCATGACAGCTTTTTCCAGTTCTTTGGGACCAAGTTATATGGCTTCCAATAAGTTGCACACAGCTTTTGATTCTGAAGGCAAGATTTTATTTATTTATTTTTTTTTTAAATTTTTTTTTTTTTTTAAAGAGAGAGTGAGAGAGGAGAGAGAGTGAGAGAGAGAGAGAATTTTTAACATTTATTTTTCAGTTCTCGGCGGACACAACATCTTTGTTGGTATGTGGTGCTGAGGATCGAACCCGGGCCGCACGCCATGCCAGGCGAGCGCGCTACCGCTTGAGCCACATCCCCAGCCCTGAAGGCAAGATTTTAAATAGACTCAACGTTTGACAAAGTTAAGGATAAGATTTGCCAAACTGCTGGT